CGGGGCAAACAGCCACGCCTCCCCCCCGCGATATCCAGCCCGTGTGACCGGGGCCTGTGTTTTGTAGGTTTCACATGCTGTGGAAACATTAAAAAGTGAGGCCTGTGGTTGTCAGGAGGATGGGAAATATTCATCAAAAGAGGAACTGATTTCGTTTTTAAGAATATGCCTCTGTGGGTTTTACCGGCATGATAATTCGTTCTTATCTAGACAGGATAAATAGCTTGCTTACCAAAATAGTATAATTTGTCTGAGCAGTTACAGCATCCTTAAATCGTCGCATTTTCTCAGGGTCCTGATGAGAAAGAAGAAACAATTAGGTGGGGGAGTTGCTATTAACTGAGGAGTGACACATTTTTGGCTACAGACTCCTACGCATAGCCAGACTACTGAAGCCCCACTGAAGTCATGTGGCACATTTGGCATTCCCAGATGTTACCAGATGGATAGCCAGGCAAGTAGACGGGGGGGGGGGGGACAGTACCTCTTGCTATAGACACCATTTTGCAGTCCCTGAAAAACTATCTTCTCTCTCCAGGAAGTAGGAAACAGGAACTGTAATTGACTCATTTTTTTAAAAAAATGTTTAATATGATTAAACACCTTCAGGAGAGATGGAACTAGTACTGGAGAAAAATTATACTGCACGTGTACAGAATCAGCCTGGGAGATGCTTGCAGGGGTCATTTATAAAGAAAGCCGGAGCGAACTGTTGGGGGGTGGGGGTAGCGGCCAATGCTCCCTCTAAGCTGCGGAGTCTTGGTGAGCAAAAATTCTACTTTGTGAGCTACTGGCATTAAAGTTGTGAGCGAGCGATTTGGCTACTGCATTAGTTAGTTTGCTCTGGAGCCACCCTTCCTGAGCTAAGACAAAAATGTGTGAGCCGGAGGCTAAAAAACTGTGAGCTAGCTCATACCAACCCAGCTTAGAGGGAACACTGGGGGCGGCAAAGGACTAACTACATATAAATGAGACCCAGGCAGACTTTTTAATAGAGAAACGCATTTCCCTCTGGAATACTCTACGGCAGATATCATCAAATCCCAAGACAAGAACGGCTGTGCCCCTGTGATGTTAACTCCCTGGACACAATTGAGCATATAATTGTCGAATGCCCCCTGTATGAGCTACCTCGCGGAAAATTCCTTCTAACTCTGTGTGCTAAAAGTTATTTGAGTAACAAGTTAAAATGTCAACTTCTCTTGAATGATACGATCCCTGAGATCACTAATGATGTTGCCAAGTTTCTTACCAAAGTTCTTAAGGTACAAAATTTTAGATAGTACTATTTTGATTGTACTAAATTTGTATGGAATCTTAGATTTTAATTTTACGATACAATGTTTTATATACCTTATGACTAATGATATGCCAATAAAGGTCTATGAATGAATGAATGAATGAATGAATGAATGAATGAATGGAGAAACAGCTTTGGGAGACTGTCAGGAATTTCAGACAAGCAATATATTCCGGTTCAGGAATGGTTCCCAAATGGTTTCTGGTCTGACATTTCAGACAGAACTGTTTTAGAACCGGTTCCCTATGGGAATATATACTTGTACTTTCACACACAAATGATTCTGTCCTGTTCAGGAAATGGGGCTGAACCGTTTTACCTGTAAACCACTTCCAAGTAGTCTTCAGTTTCTTCTCCCGGATCCAAAACGCTTTTTCCCGCCATTTTTTGCCCACACGGGCGATCTCTGGCCTTTTTAAAAAAACGTTAGCTTTAGAGCACTATAGCGCTATTACACAACAGCAAAACAGCATTATAGCAACCCCATTGGAATGCTCGGAGTGTTGTGTTATAGCGCCATAGCGCTCTAAAGCAAACGTTAAAAAAAAAAGCCGGAGATCGCCTGTGCAGGCGAAAAATGGCAGGAAAAAGCAGTGCAGTCTGAAATGGCAAACCGCTTCAGATCCAGCTGTTTACCGGTAGGGGAAAGCCATGTGTGAAATGGCATCCCTATACCGGTTTACGCCACGATGGATAAAAAACGGCTTCAAACCAGCTTAAAAAGGGTAATGTGAAATTCCTCTGTGATTTTTAGCGATGCAGTCTGTTGGCGGGGAGGAGTGGAGAGCCATTCTCTGTTCTAGATTTCATCTTCAAACTGCTCCTCAGGTCTGCACGTGGAGCCTTGTGCGGGAGATGCAGCCGGTAGGGTGCAGTTTGAAGCAGAGAAACGGCTGGTGGGAAAAGGGTTAATGACTCCCTCTGCCCACCACTTCTCTGCTTGCAGTCGCACCTTCCAGAAGTTACTGTCAGGACAGAGCGAACACATCTTTGCCACTTACAAAGTGTTTAGAAGGCAAACAATCTCTCACGACCTCAATAAACCAATTCCGTCATTTCAGGAGCTACGCCGCGTTTTATTTGATTGCAGTGTGGGCTTTTGGCATTTGCCTAGAAGTAAAATGTGACTTTTGGCCAGAGGATTTGAAAGAGCCAGTTAAGAAATTAAAAAACAAGCCTTTCCAGAGCTGTGGGTGAAGAATGAAGCTAGGGTATACCTCTTGGAAGGAATCTCTTTTCTAAGATGCCTTTTAAAATTATTTGTTTATGATAAATACAGGGGTCATTTCCTGCAGGAGCGCACAGGAGCAGAGCTCCGGCAGTAAAGAGCCCAAGGGGCGGGCACATGCAACAAGCCCCACCCCCTGCTCCCAGCAGCCCTCAGTCAGAGCAAGAAGCAGCCAGGTAAGTTGCAGAGCCAACAGGTCCAAAACAGTCCAGTGGCACCGTTAACACCAAGTTTTATTCAGGTACAAGCTCTCCCTCCTCTGCCAGGACAGGTCTGCCCGGCCCCCCCCCAATAGCTAGCAATCCAAAACAGTCCAGTGAAGCCTGAGCAGTGGGTGTTGCCTTCTGACACACTTCCGGTGATGTCAGGGTGTGTGGCATATGCAAATAAGTTATGAAGAGGAATAAAAAAACCTTTGTTCCAAAACGATGGGGACAAATGTCCTGATTTCCCCCTTCCTGCTTTCAGAATGATTCTTCAACTAATTACAGCTAGAGCTGCCAACCTCCAGGTGGGGGCCTGGAAATCTCCCAGAATTGCAACTAATCTCCAGACAACAGAGACCTCTCCCCCTAGAGGAAAATGGCTGCCGTGGAGGTTGGACTGTATGGCATTCTATCTCCCCCCTCCTCAAACCCTGCCCTCCCCACCCCCAAAATCTCCAGGAATTTCCCAAACAGAGTTGGCAGCCTTATGGCTATGGCCATTGGTGGCTGTCGTGTGAACAAATGAGAGCCTTTTTGTTAAGTCCGGTGGTTAACAAAATAGTCAGAGAGTGATTTCAGCAAAACTCAGGTTTATTTCAGCTCGACGATCACTTCTCTAACACGGTACAACTTCTGATAGCCCGAACAGCTTTTCCATTGCAGCTGCTCGGTATTTAAACATTCCGGGCTAATGTAGCCACACCTACTATACA